ATATTGAATGATGACAGGAAAGCTGTGTGATAATCGTGCATAAAAGATGGTTGTAGCCTGTGTCTCTGAAATGTAAAACCAGTGGAACTATCTTGGAGCGTGGATTATACTGTGTTGTGGACACGGACACAGAAATCTGCAGATGGCACTTAAAGAAATCCCCCAGTACTAATTTAAAAAGAAGTCTACGTTACAGAAGCGGAAGGCATGGGGCTTCACACATACCATCTTACATAACAGAGACTGAAGCAGACAGCACCTGACTTATGGATGTGGAAACTATACCATACATGTGAGTCTCAGTGTTTACTCTGTCCTAATGGGTTAAATATAGTGTGATGTTCATTTTATCCAATGTGGAAAGGTAACAAATACTGGCCCTGTAAGGTGGGCCATACACTGCATTTCCAGTGGTGGAGAGAAAGGAGGCCAACAGGGGGACTACTTCCCAGATGGCAAAGGCCAAAATGCAAAACTCGGAGCTGAAAAATGGTAATCCACAACCACAGAGGTGACATCTGTATTTAGCTTCACATAAAATCACAAGTTTAGTTTTGGTTCACTCTTATTGCTCCGATAGTACTTATGCAGACAGCTGTTTTACCTTAAAAAGTACCATTTATCAGCGGAGACACTGATATGTCAGAGCCGCGTTCCCTTGTTTTTCCTCAATGACAAGAAATAACAGTGTTTTAACGGACATACAAAAGAGTTTCACTGACCTCTGTGCTATAGCCATTCCAAAGAATCTTTGTCCTGTCAATGAACAGCTTGGCTCCTCTCTTGGCATGCATGTTGTAATATCCAACCTCCTCAAAAACCACAGAGCCATCTTCTGTAGACCTGTGCCAGTTTATAATGGTGTAATTTGCTTCCATATCTGAGTTCTCGTCAAAGCGCATCTTTTCTCCCATGCTGTTGGTGTAGTTCAAATGCCTAAGCTGCTTAAGGACCTGAGAAATAGAAGAACATGCTTTCATGATTCACACATTGGCATATCTAATATTTAACTCCTTTTATTAAACATAAATTAAATACATTGTACCTGCCATGCTTCCATTTTTTTTATATCTGCGCAGGAATTGTTTGCAAAAAGTCCACGTCCAGGTGTGCATGTGAGTATGTCCTGTAGCGCCTGTGCTATGGAATAAACTGCAACATAAACGTTATAGGAGATACGAAGGTGTTTGTAGTCCAGGTATGGTGTTTCAACACTTGCGATGTCCTCCTCACCACTACACAAAGGCCTGAAACTAGTGCTGCCATTCTCACTTTCTTGGAATCTCGGGCTATCTTCTAGATAGCAGTTGAAGGTTTCTTCCCAAAACTCTCTGACAAATTCATTATGACTGTCTTTCTTTGGTTGGACGTGCTGTAAGAACTCTCTAAAGCCAGGTATACGACCTGCCTTTAGAGCAAAACCAATAGTCCCTGCCATAACATCAAGATATTCTGGTTTAGCAACAAGGGAGGAGATTGCCCAAGCTTCACTGGCTAACCAGATCCGATCTGTGATGTTTCTCCTAACCATCTCTTTGATTAGAGGTTCGACATCTGGGCCACTGGCGAACACAACGATTACTTTAGCTGTGGAATTCTCAATCCTGTCAGCCAGAGCTTTGATTTCGTGATCCTCAAAGTACTGAGAAATAAGTTCATTTAGATGAATGCAGATATCTCGCTCTTCCATCTCCTTCTCAAACTTTTCAATCCCTGGACGCCCATACTCATCATCGGAGGCCACAGCAATGACCCAGTTCCACTGAAAGTACTCAATAATGTCTGCCATGGCTGTGGCCTGGTATTCATCTGTAGGAATGGTTCTCATGAAGGACTTGTACTGATTCTTGTTGCTCAGTAGGCGGCTAGACGAGGCATAACTGATCTGAAACAGGAAATTGCTCAGTTCATCTATCAGGTTTTCATTGCATCTTCTTAATTATCTTTAACCACTTTCAAATCATTTATTGAACAAACACAAAAATCATTATATGTAGACTTAATTTTTATGGATGTAGATAAGGAAGTAATGATGTGTTGTTGACATAGCTATTACCCATCAACTCACCTGAGGGATATAAAATAGACCCAGCAAGTTTGCAACTGCTGTGGAGACAGCAGATCCAGCAGCTCCTACTACTGCAATGGTTGATGGTATGTGATCAGTACAGTTGCAAAACTCATCTAAACTTAAAGAGTCGATCTTATTTTGGGCCACAAAACTTAGGGTGGCTTCCAAGGCTTTTGACACAGTGTTGCAAGTGTCAAAAATCCTGTAGCCCAGCGTGATGTTGGGAAGGAGCGTACTGCTGTTGTTAATCTCTTCAATCGCAAAAATCATGGCCTGGAGCCAACGAAAACCACGGAAATTGAACCTGTGCAAAGAAAAAAAAGGCATGAGTACGACACACTTGGTTTGCAAAAGGGTTTTTTGTTACCTCAGAGCATAAATTACCTGACACACAGGGTGGATTCTGGCCGGGCTGCAAGGTCTTGATCTTTGGATGCAATGCCGAAGTGTAAGGGGAAAAGACCTCCAAGTAAAATATCACCAGTCATCTGTGCTCTCTGGTGGGGTCCGTACGTTGAAATCACATAACTGGACCCCAGCAGTGTCAAATAATACAGAAGCAGTCTCATCTTTTTTTGTCTTTGATTGGATACGATTGTTTTTTGTGACTTCCCAGGGTGAAGAAAATTTCAATATTAACTTCTCCCATCAATCTGCCTGCTGGGTTGTTTTGTGTTATTCATGTTTATGCTGATGAAGGTCTACCTGTTTGAAACATAGAGATGAACAACTCATTGGTTAGAAATAAGTACCATTGGTGAAATCGTTAGAGTTTTCCGTTTTTAATTCAGAAAAACACAGGAATATGCCGAGTGTGTAATACTGATTTAACTCCAATTATTGAGTTCATTTTCCAGCTTAAGCAGGGACAAAATATTGTAATGAGCCATCATGGCCTGAGGCTATATTTCTTGCTTGAGCCAGACCACTCAGATACAGAAGTTTTCTAAGAGTTAGGATTTTTCTTAATGAGCTGACTTCTTTAGTTGTAATTCTAAGAAGAGATCAATTTAAATATTTCACACCTCACTAACAGTGTCATAGTGTTCTTGAAATATCCTAGATGAACTGAAACAAGCACAGGATATACATGAGCCAAGAGAGAAGTCACACTCTAATAACCTTCCTGCAAATGCTATGGCCAGTGAACCCAGTCACCATGGAGAAAAGCCATAGCGGCCCTGCTGCAGCTGGTTAATACTGCTGGAAAAATGCTGGGGCAGAGCCGTGATAATGAAGCAACTACAACCCCTAGGAGCCATTGTTTGCCACATTACGGAGAAGAAGAAGAATTTTTATTGCACTAAGGAGAAACAAAAAAAACACATCAATTTTCTACAATTAGGATTTATTACATCTTGCAGGTAAATGTTAAAAAAACAGAAAGTAACTCAGTTAATTCAAAGAACAGTTTTAACTAAACTGTGATTAAAAATTGATTCAAAAGCGTTTTAAAATCAATAAAGCCACTAACCATGGTTTTATTACTGGTTTCAAATGATTAAAAACCTAAATCAGAAAGTAGTTATGGGTCTATTGGTTCAAATAATGTCCTGCTTTTTAAACATCCATTTACAACAACAAAAATAGGGCATATAAGCTCAAATAAAACTTACCTCCCAAATTCCCGAGTATTACTTAAAGACATGTGAAACAGTCAATCTGCAGCTATTCACCGATTTTAGGGACTTTTTCCAAAATATCCTGACTGCTGAATGATTTCACTAGACAATGCTGCTGGCTTCTGAACCTCTTTCTGCAGATGAATCATTAACAAAGAGAAGGATAGGCCATTTCCTTCAGCTAATGAAGTCAGCTCACAGTTCACTCCTCCTGAAAGAAATCACATCTAAAGTGGCAGAGGATAGGTTGGGGCTTAAAATCTATTCTTTTGTCTACGCTATTACAAATGAAAATTAATGTATTTCCTAGTACACAGCCTCATTGTTGGATTAAAAAAGACGAGTTGTGGAGATTGCCTTTCTGTACAGGCTTTGATAAAAATGGCATTTTAAACTGGATTTGGAACAGGATTCTGTGTAATATTATTATTAGTAATAGCAGTAGCAGTAGTAGTAGTAGTATTACTATTTTTATTATGTAATAACTAAGTGCCTTTTTCACGTTTACATTTTTATTGTATTTCATCTGCATTGTAATTCCATGAACTCCTGGAAGCAATGGATTGTACCCTTATGTTCAACTAATTGTTCTCCAAACAATTAGTTGATTCCCGCTCTGATGAACAAGTCAATTTGTTGCTGAGGAGATGTCTCCAGTGAAAACCATTTCACTTTACAACGTGTTGACTTACCAGGGTCCCAAGGCGACTGTATGTTCATGAGACATCAGGCACACGGAAGCTCTCCAGAGGTTACAATAAGTCTAATAAGTCTGTTCTAAGTTTCAGTCAACTTCTTTATAGCTAGAGGAAGGTCGTCATACTACATGCAGACCTTGGGATGCTAATCAGCAGGCGTATAAAGTACTGTGAGAACCATTAACAGTAACATTTGGTAAATGAGGCCAATAATCTTACAGCAAATTAGTGCATGGTTAATTTGTTCACATATTATTGAAAGAAATGACAATAAATGAGTAAATGTGTTTCTAGATTTGAAGCGAAAATAAATTATAAAGTAAATTAATAAATTCATCAGCACGTCTTTATTATTGAATCAGTAAGAGCAATTCATCATTAAGGTTTCAATAGCTTTTTTATAGCATTTAGTTTAATTCAAATGTAAAAACATGTTTAGTATAAGTGTCATCTACGCGCAAAAAATAGCTAAAATATTTTTTTTCCCTCTTGCTCTCACCTTTATAAAGTCTTGATATGTGAGTGCTCACACAAATCATTCGGATCCACTCTTTTTCAGAAATGGCACATAAGTCTGAAATGTAACATAATGTGTAAAAAATGTTGGGCTGTGAAGAGTTCACGGTGAATGAATTTATTCCATACACAGTGTGGAGTGGGACAGATCAAAACAGACTCACACAGCATTCAGCTAGAAAGGTAAGGAATGTCTCTCTCTTTTTTTTTTATTGATGTGACTTTAATATATCAGCTGTAATCTCCGTTTGTTAGTTTGTGTAATTAGTGTGCATGGCTTAATTTGTAATGACATATTATCTGAGTCACGGTGAATCATCGGTACATTATATAAACACTGTAAAATCATAAATTTATTATGATAAAGCACTATGTGCCCTCATTTACTCAGCAAATAGACCATGAAATATATTTGTCAAATTATTGCATGAATAACAAAGTAAAAATTAGTGCTTATAGTTTCTACTGTTCAGTAAAGTTTCTGTATGTGTAGTTGTAGCTTACTGTTGATGGTATGAAACGTGAGCTTGTTCATATGTGAAGTCATATGGTGATTTATACACTAATAATAATTATTATTAAATGCATAAAGGCTTTGAGTGCTCAAGTAGAGCAGAACAGTGCTACGTAAGAACTAGTCCATTTATTATTTACCAACTCGGATTAAATGAACTGTAAAACAAAACAAATTTACTTTGTTTGATCAGATAACAGCATAAAAAATAATTAAAATCTAGTCCTGGTTGTATTCACAATTTTCTCTCTGCCAGTTCTCAAGTTTTGATTTTCTTCTAGTACCCACACAATTAACTGAATAATTCTTAATTATCACAGATGTCCGGTGCAAAGGTGCTGCAGTTCCTGCAGAATATTTCACGTAGAAAACCTCTGGAGCCTGAGGGTGAAGTGTCCAACTTTCGCCGGTGTCTGACTACCCTTGATTTGGTGGCTCTTGGGGTCGGCAGCACACTGGGGGCCGGTGTGTATGTGCTTTCAGGAGAAGTGGCCAGAGCTGTGGCCGGGCCTAGTATCATATTCTCCTTCCTGATAGCAGCAGTGGCCTCCATCTTTGCAGGACTGTGTTATGCTGAATTTGGAGCTCGTGTTCCCAAAACTGGCTCTGCTTATCTCTATAGCTACGTGACTGTGGGTGAGATATGGGCTTTTGTCACGGGCTGGAACCTCCTGCTGTCTTATGTCATAGGTAACAATAAGGCCATTGAATGAATATTAATCCTGGAAAAATCATAGATTAAAATTATATTTGTCAAGTGATTTTAAGTAACACCAGGTGCTGTTTGCTAATGGCTTCTGTTGTTAAGGGACATCAAGTGTAGCCAGAGCCTGGAGTGGGACCTTTGATGATCTCATTGGAAATGTCATTGCCAACTCTTTAGGCAAACAGGTTGCAATGGATTTACCTGGATTGGCTCCCTATCCAGACTTCTTTGCAGCAGGTATCATTATGCTCTTGGCAGGTAAGTTTCATATACTAAAAACCTAATTATTTATTAACATAATACAGGTACTCTTAGTTTATTGTAAGTTTAAAAAATGATTAAAAAAAAAACACACAAGAGGTTGAAGTGTCCTACATATTTTTTGACTAAAGTAAATATTTGACAAATGAGTTTCCACTAGGTTCATTGACATGGTGAAATTAATTCTTATATATTTTTCTTTCTAGGGATTCTTGCATTTGGTGTTAAAGAATCGGCCACTGTAAATAAAGTTTTTACAGCAGTTAACATCCTGGTGTTGCTCTTTGTTATCCTCTCTGGGTTCATAAAGGGGGATATCAACAACTGGTACAGATATGAAGACACCCTTCCAAACCAATCCGAGTATGGCCTCCCCCTTCCCCCGTTATTTTGGCTTCTGCTGTATTTTTCTTTCTTTTTTTTAGCTGCTTGACTGTTGATCACTGTTTACAGGAACTATACGACCCTGAATAAAACCACCACATATGGCAGTGGGGGATTTTTCCCTTTTGGTTTTGAGGGGACATTAGCAGGAGCAGCCACTTGCTTTTATGCATTTGTTGGATTTGACTGCATTGCAACAACAGGTAACTTTTAGAATTTAAGTGCAAAGCCAGTAATTATAATGCACTGCATAAGGAAAGTGAAAATTTGATCACAATGACTTCAGAAGATGTTTGTGGCAATTTTAATTGTCCAGAAAAACACAGATCTTTGCACACTAGAATATTCTCTACAGCATATACATTTTGTAAAATAGTTTATTTTATAGACATGGTGCTATGTCATAAAAATGCATCTAAAGATTAAATGATGGCATAAACCACACTGGGATAATTTTGTGTTTTTCTTTAGGAGAGGAGGTTCAGAACCCTCAGAAGTCAATCCCACTCGGGATTGTGGCGTCTCTCCTTATCTGCTTCTTGGCTTATTTTGGTGTGTCTGCTACCCTGACTCTTTTGATGCCATACTATTTGCTCAGCGTTCACAGCCCACTGCCTGTGGCCTTTACATACATCGGTTGGGGCCCTGCAAAGTATGCAGTTGCTGTGGGATCACTCTGTGCGCTCTCAACAAGGTATAATGCATGAAGTATCATGTATAAACAAACCTACAATTCTTTATACATTACAATATTCCTTTGGTGACATTTATAGCACATACACCAAATAAAATCACTGGGATCATTACTAGGAATTAAAACAGGGACACGAGAATAACTGAATTGCTGTTAATGAGCTATGAGCTTTTTTCCCTGAAGCCTTCTAGGATCAATGTTCCCGATGCCTCGTGTTCTCTTTGCCATGGCCCGGGATGGACTGCTCTTCAGACCTCTCAGTAACATGAGTGACAGACAAAGTCCTGTCATTGCTACACTGGCTTCAGGGGTTGTAGCAGGTATAACTAACTCTAGAAGAGATTATAATATAATTTTTTAAGTTGCATTTTTTAATTATTTGATTTTGTTAAGGCCATCAGCTACTACACTGATAAAATGGTTGCAGAATTTATAAACATAACTTCTCCTACTTCTTTGCAGCTATCATGGCTTTATTGTTTGACCTGAAGTCGTTGGTTGACATGATGTCGATTGGAACCCTGTTTGCCTACACACTTGTTGCCATTTGCATTCTCATATTAAGGTACAGATCATCACACGTATGCATGTTGGCACTGCTCTTGTTACTGCTTATTATTAGTAGTGGTGTTAGCATTTATTATCACTCTGATGATATACCACTCTTTATATTTTACACCTAACAAACAAGACTTTCTTGCGTTTTTTAAAAGTGGTCTTCACCATTAGTTGTCCAGCTTTCTGAAGGTCTTTCAAAGTTTTTCTTTGCACACTGGCTGCTTTCTCACTCAGTTTTAGTTCAGTCCTTGTACCTGTCCCTTTTCAGAGGAATGTTTTTGTTTGTTCAATCACTAACCTATGAATCCTTCAAATATAAAAGGGTTTCTAACTGAAAGGATGAAATGGTAATATGTCTAACAGACAAAGCATCAGTTTAAAACTGTATCTTGACGCACTTTGTTCCTAGCAGCCTGTCAGACCCCCCAACATCATTGGTTGCTATTTTTTTTCCAGTTAATGCCAAAGATAACACAAAGAGCTATTAGCCAGAAATTGGCATATCTTTGTCTTTGACCCAGTATTACAGTTTGCTTGGACTTGTTAGTTATTTCTTTGGAGAGGTATAAGATGATTTATGTATATATGGTTAAT